TGAAATTTCAGTTCTAACTAAAAACCAGTACAATATTAAACAGAAGCAGACCTTGTACATCTGATACTAACGGTGAAGTGTCACGTTCTGCACTCGATGAAACCATTTTTGCATCCTTCAAGTAGCAAATATAAGAAGTAAAAAATAAAACCATATGCAAAATGCCATTTTACAGGAATTTGAATTTGCGAGAAATGCTACGAATTGAGATGTGCCGACGAACATTCCATCAGGAAAGTATTAGAAACGAAAGAGGTAGAGTGGAAACGAATCTTACAAGATATACACATAAGTAGTGGCCGACTAAGCACATGAAACTTAGGCTGAAACATACTTATTTCGAGGTAGGAGGACTGATACGAAAAGCTTCAACACGGAAATTGTTCGCTTTACAGGAAGGCAAAGAATGCTCAAATGAAGTAATCAGAGATCACTGAATGCATCATCACGCAAAATATTTACCTCTCGTGATGATGATGCAATATCTTCATCGCTTGCATCCGTTGAATATTCCGTCATTTTCGTTTCAGTCTCGTCATGTTTTTCTTCCTGTTCACTGGTTGATTGAACGTCTGAGAGTGATGAATTGGTTGCATCAAGAAGCACTTAAATACAATTCTTGTAAATATTTGACCTTGTAAATTCACAAATTGAATCTAATCGTCATCTGATGAAGTACCTAAATTCAGGCTCAAAAGTACAAATGTCTCAAAAAATTCACACTGCAAAAAAATGAACAACTGAAGTAGAATGCACACCTTTACGAATATCCCTCAATGTTTCCTCACCAATCGAGCTCACATCTTCGGATGTATACGACGAGATTGAGTCGAATTTCTTAAGCAGTTCGTCGGCATCATCATCCATCTCATACGATAATTTCTTCTTCTTCCCAGGCGCTTTTTTGGTTCGACGAACAGTGACCTCCTCGAGAATACCGACTTGCTCGTAAGGAAGATTATCTGATGCCATCGAGGGTGCGGCTGAGACGGGTGATACGGCTGGTGCAATATACGTACCATTCTCTGTCTACAAAACACATTTTGCATACTGCCAAAGAATTTATGCACGAAGAATATAACTGAATATAAGAATATAATATAATGTATGCACATCATTTTTTTCCACCAATTAAACAAATCACATTTGAAACGTGAAAATTCAGTTAAGAAAAAACACACCTGAACGCCTAAACCGCCTACAACGTCGACGACTCGTTTTGCCATTTCGTTAACGTTATCGAGCAAACGATTCGGTTGTGAAACAGCCCAATTCAATGTCATATTTCTACCTCGATCATAAACACTTTCTGCGTTCCCTTTTGAAATCAACTGATTCTCAAT